TATGTCACCAGATATGACACCTTTCATCTCCAACTTCAAGAAATAAACTGTTCTTGACTAGATTTAAGCAAATCATTGTAACTTTTACAAGTTACTAGACAATCTTGTTCTTACACAAGAATCCATAATGTTTGCATTACCATTTAACAATTATATACATAATTACCTTCAAAATATAATAGACTGAACTCTTGATTATCCATGGTAATAGACAGGAGACTAAGCACAGATTATTAAAAACAACATATAATCTAAACATCTGAAAACACCCACTATCCATGATGCATTCAGACCTGAAGATTACTTAATTGTTTCTTACTGGTTACCACATGTTTCCAACAGCAGAAAACAATCCTTGTTCAGTGGTGACACATGAGAACAATAAAACAGGAAGTTACAAGTGGGTGAGGATGTAGAGCCAACTACAAATCATCGCGAAGCATCGCTGTAGTTGCCGCTACCAATCCTTGAGCTTGGCCCTGGCTAACAAACAATATGTGACAGGGTGTGGAGACTGGAAACAGCTGTATACTGTCCAACTTGTGAGCTGACAGAGCAATCACCAACGGTAGCTGTGCCATGCAGGCAAAGCTCACAAATCGGTGAAAGCAACCATACATTTCACTGAAGCACATGTAACAGGAAATGTTTAAATCATTACGGTAAGTTATAATCAACTATCAGTACCCAGCATAACATACTCCACTGCAGAAGGTCTTAGGGGGTTTTTAATTAAATAGCAATGAATTTTATTTCATTTAATTTGATGCATTTATTTATACGACTCAGACTGTTGCAGCATCTTGCCCAATCACTGAATTACTTCAATCAAACACCCCTAGTTTGATTGGTGTTTTCAGTCATTTTGAAGCACTCCAGCACAATCAGTAATATAAAGTTGTCCACATTCTGACTTATTTAACTTGTTTGGATATAGCAGTGAATAAAATGGGAAATCTGGCTGTGTAACCAGAAACAGTACAAACCATTTCCAGGTGGTGCTTTAATCTCTAAACCCACTGATTCTGATTTGTATTGTTGTATATGTCCTCTGTAGTTATTTGCTTCACATGTATCCAAATGTAAGCAGCTCTCATAACTCAGCCATCAAGTGGTGCCTCTACTGAAATTCCCCCCAATACTCGTTCCAACTTGTGAGGAGTGGAAACATACCTAAGCATTTTATATACATCATTATGGGGTTGTAAAAGACCTGTACTTCACCTGCAAAGCGGATAATCAAGAGTCTCCTGTATACCATATAAATGTTTTTCAGCCACACATATTTCCCCTACCTATGTCATCTTCTGAGGTGCTTTGCCAAAAATAAGCTACTGTAATTTACATTAAATATATCCCAAAAATTCTTGTGAAATGCTTTATCCAGATGTTATTTCAATTTTCATGAAAATAAATTACACAGTGAAGATTGCCATCTTTTAAAATGTGACTACATGCAGTATGGTTGAAGATGACAAAGATTTCAGATGAACCTGTTACCTCCATCTTCAGGGAAAGATTTACTTTTCCTCTATCATGAAGATAGACAAAGCAGACTCCCAGAAACTGGTAACTTTCTGTCATGTTCCACATTCTGTGTGACAACCTCATATTTCAAACTACACAAAGTCTTAAAATTATAAAACTATTACTATTCTTGCAGAAATTGTGAGATTACAAGATTTAGTATGGTTTCTTTACAAAGCAAATGTGCTGGTAGGGACTCTATTCTTGACACTTATGGGGTGAAGAAGTGTGGTTATGGATGAAGAAATCAACAATGGGAAAAGGGACGTTCACAAACCTACCAAATGTATATAGCATCAGTTCAAAATGTACTGGCCACTGTTGTACTTATATAGTGCTCAACTGAACTGAAAAACAGTTGCTTATCCATGCTGCTACCACACCTGTAATTGTTCTGATTTCCTGCATTCCTCACAGCTCTCAAGATTGAGCGTCTTGTACTGTACGTGACTAGTTTCCTATTTATTGCGTATTCCTCCTTGATATCAACATGCCATAAATTTGGTGAAAACACAGATGAGTATATAGCAAGGATACTGATGTCAAATATACACAACAATCCACGGCATTTACTTCGTAAAGTACCAGGTTGCAAACACGTCTAAAATCTATGTAAGTTTTGAGGTTTTCACAGCAATGACTATGAAGAAAGTCATCTTCTGGGATCTGGCGCCTTGTATTCTTGGTTTTAACCGACGTTTCGGACGAACATTGCAGCTACTGCTCTCTGTATTCGCACGCAACTCAACTGCCCTGAAGATGAAGGCGATATGTTTCTCCGAAACGTCGGTTAAAACCAAGAATACATGGCACCAGATCCCAGAAGACGACTTTCTTCACATCTAAAATCTGTTTGATTTGAGGTTCTCACAGCAGTGACTATGAAGAATACTAACTTCTGGGACGTGATGCCGTGTAGTCTGGTAAAAGTTTACGTGTTTCAGTGGAAAATACTGCTTCTGTTTTGGGGGTTGATTAGTATGTCAAGCAACCAGCAGGAAACAGGAAACAAGCAAAGCTCTATTTGCTTATTTTCATCCTGAAGATGGAGACAGCACTTTCCTCTGAAATTCTGGTAAACGCTTAATGGACTACATGGTGCCACACCCCAGACGACAGTATTATTCATGCTTAAAACCTATCACAAATTAAAAAATATGAAGACTGTATATGATATACGGTCTGCTGTTATCAGAACAACCATATATCTATCAATGTAAAGGACATTTATATACGTAGGTAAGTCAATAAGTAAGTTACAAATATAGAATTTAAACAAATAAGAGTACTAATTTGAAAAATGCCTTTATTTCTCAACATAATCTCCCTGTACATTGAAGCACTTGTCTCATTATTTCACAAGCCCCTTAAAACCAGCAGCATAAAATTCTTTGGGCTGCTGTCGGAACCAGGCGGTGACTTCCCTTTCTACAGCTTCATCATCGGGAGAATCTTCAGCCGAAAGATGTTTTAGAAGGCCAAACAAATGGAAGTCGCACGACAGGTTAGGTTTTCACAAAGTCTGTGCATGACAGGTGCCGCGTNTCATCCTTCCCTATCCACCTGAAGACGGAGACAGATCCAGTCTCTGAAACATCGTGGTTTTTTGTCTTTTTCATACCAGACGATGGGTGAAGTCCAAAATAAGCCAAAAGAAGTACAGCATACACCATCATCAGAATCCTTTCAAGTCTATCATCTTTTGGCTAAACATATTCCTGACGATGAAGCTGTAGAAAGGGAAGTTACCACCTAGTTCCGACAGCAGCCCAAAGAATTTTATGCTGCTGGTTTTCAGGGGCTTGTGAAATGATGAGACAAGTACTTCACTGTATAGGGAGATAATGTTGAGAAATAAAAGCATTTTTCAAATCAGTACTCTTATCTGTTTAAGTTCTATATCCATTTGTAACTTAATTATTGACTTACCCTTGTACTTACTCTGAAACATTAAATTTTTATCTTTCAAAGATGAATATTCATTTCAATACAAATTTGTTCATAGTTAATCCTGTAACTTCATAATTCTTGCAAGAATTTAATTTGATAATTTTATGATACTTTAATTTACTTTCTTATATACTGAAACATGAACTATATATGGCTTTGACAAGAACAAATTTCTGGAATCACAGCTCGAGACTATGTCTTTGTGAATTTGCAAGCTTGTCACGATATTGCCTACAAAAATGAAGAAAAAAACTGAATTGGTCCGCTTACATGCAGGCAGTTTAAGACAGGGAGACACTTGTGAATAATTCCACTGCTAATATCCAAGGGAGCCCATGTCTCACCAGGTAACAGTGGCAAAGTTAAAGAAACAATTTTGTGAAACTGGAAGTGAGGCAGATAGGAGAAGTGGTCACTGATACTTAGGAACAGATCATGATCACATGGTAAATGCGTTAGCAAGGGCTGTGGTGAGCTCCCACAGATTAATGAGAAATACAGGACAAAAACAGGAGTAAGTCACAGCTGTTGCACACATTTTAAAGTGAAACAAGTACCATCCTTACAAAGTCATATACATGCAAGAACTTTGTGGGAACTGTGACAGACATGAAGAGTTTGGTGACCGGACGATACTGCACCCATCAGTGCAGTCTTCCATTTATTCCAATACCCTGTTTAGTGATGAGGTCCTTTTGCATCTAAGTGAAATGGTAAACTGCCATTACTGTCGTTACTGGATGAATGAGAACATCCATTGTTCAGAAGAGATGCACATTCAGAAAGCCTTGAAGGTAACAGCTGCTGTGGCATCCATGGAACACTACTTAGACCATACTGTCTTGATGCTACTGTAAGTGGGGAAAGGTGCTGCATTGCTGAATGGGGTTGTGAGGCCTCACTTAGATGTCACTTGTAACATATGATATTTCTGGTTTCAGCAGGATGGGCACACCTGCATTTTTCCTTGACTACTCATTAGTGGCTAAATGTCATCCCAGGAAAATGGATTGGTTGCTGTGGACCAGTAGAACAGCCCCCTAGATCATGATACCTGTCCTCTCTTAGACTTTTCTTGTGGGGCCATTTGCAATCTGTTGCATATGCAAACAATCTGTGAACAACTGAGCCACTGAAAGAATGTGTTAAAAAGGAAATTTAAAAAAGGTAAAGCTATCCCTGTAACAGGCTGTGGAGGTCCCTAGGCTTCTACATTTTCTAGATAATTGGCTCACAGATGGTGGTGAGATTATCAGCCTTATGCACCAGTTACCCTTTACACCCAGGATGATTCCTGGTACTCATTTCTGTTAGAGGCTGAGTCACTGCAAGGCCACAGTGCAGCTTGAAGAATTAGGTCACTTGAAAAATCCAATGACTTCATTGGGAATCAAACCCATGACCTTCTGGCCTGTGGTACAGTGTCTCAACCAACTATGCTACCATCTAACAAAATAAGTATGATGCATTGCATGCAGTTGCCAGAAGTACAACACATCAAGTCTATGACTGCATAGCATTCCATGGATTAGGGTTCGAACATTTGTTGTAACAAGCCTACAATCCCAGAATTTTGTTACACCTTGCATTTAATGTAAAGCTTAGTAGCTTGTGTTTCAAGAAATTTTCCTGGAGATGACGTCAATGTGGCTGGCTGAAAATTCTGTGTTATACATTGTACTGTCACAGTTATTGCTTATATATAAAATAACACTACGAGACGGTCACTTATCTGTATATATCAGTATGCATAGTCTAACTTCAAATTGTCTCTGTTCAGTAAACCTTTACTGAAGACTTGTTTAATGCAAGTGTTTTCTTTTGGAAGTGGTAAGAACTGGAACAGAACTCTGTAAATGGTAGTTACAAAACAAAGCACTGCCTTAAGAAAACCATGTCACAAAATGCACTATGAGGGATTAAACAGAGACAACAATATGTGTAACATAGACAGATGCTGAAATAAAACTGTGCAATCGAAAAAACTCTTTTGGTCCATTTTCTACTGTCAACTGCACAGCTTATTTTGGCTACTCAATAATAGTATTAGTCTTATTAACAACAAACTTTTGTTCTACAAACAGCTTTTGTTTTACACTTAGTGTACTGTCTAAAATTGGTGGACTGTTCCTTCTTTGTATTTCCTACACATGAACACCAGACACTTGTGCAAATGCATGTATACTGCCACATGCATTCGATAACAAAACTCTCTTAACTGAAGAAAATAACAACACTTCTAAAGAAATAATATGGTATAACTTCAGAGGAGATGAAGGGAAGTTTTATACACAATAAATGTGTTTATAAAATCACAGAGTTGTTTTGATATGAAATTAATCTTTGTATGTTAAACAGTTGTCAGGTTGATATTCAAGTCTTCTGTCCTGTAGGTGGAAGCCAGTGTCGCAGCGGTGTATGCTGCCGTTGCTTCTGGATCAAAGTGAGGAGAGTGGGGATACACTTAGGTTAACAGACAGGTTTCAAGAAAGGTGGTCACTATGATTCATGGATTTGTGGATCAATCAGATCAAGAGGGATCCACAAATTTGTGGATCTGAGTGGCAGCATTCCTCACAATGCATCTATGTAATTTAATCATGTTATCATGCTACTCATTACTGACCCTGAACTGAAGAAAGCATTTAGCTTCAACATAATGGTTTCTGCCTATAAGACTGCATGGTGTCACAACCCACAGCATGGTTATCAGTGTTTTCAGTATGTAGTTGACAAAATGTTAATTGTGAAGGAACAACTCCATAACAACAGTATAATTTACCTAGTAAACTTCCAATTGAAAGCTAAATATTGATTTAGTATATTTTATGACACAGAGAAGGGAATAATACTGACAGATTCTGAATGGCCAGAGAAGTGCTGCATCTAATACTTGTCATGAAGTGAGACCAATTTTTGCAACACTTAAATTCTTAATATTCTGTTCGCTATTACCACACATACCTCTATCAATACATGACCAGTGAATATCTTTGTCTGGCCATGTAACTTCCTTGCTACAGCCAGCTCGACTGCAATGAAGGGAATGTAAAAAGGCACAGCTGTCACCAGTCACGGAATCATTGCTTACAAAACTATCAACAGCACAATTCAAAGCCACATATTACTCATTTCAACTCTTCTGTGTACAATTGTCAGTTAAAAGATAAATTACATGACAAAACATCCTACAGATTCTACAAACACTTCATACATAACATGGAAGAAAAAGGGGAAGGACATATTTATATACAAGTAGTAGTATTTGACATAAAAGAAGATCTGACCTCTAAAATGTGGCATCTAATGACAAATGAGGATGAAAATGACATAGTATCTTCATTATGTTCTACACTATCTATAAGGAACAAGGTTTTAAGGTAGAATCAAACTTATATATAAACAAGGAGAGATCATACTGAAAGGATATCTGGCATTTTAATACAAGGAAAATTACTATCTTCAGGGTTTCGAAACTCACTTTTAGTGAAAAAAAAACTGAATCATATAACAGAAACCTATGTGCAACACCAGAAACTGATCCAAGAAGATCATTCTCACTGTTTGATTTCTGTCACTGACAGTTATTCATTATCATTATTTCTGTTTCAATTAATTATTTTTAAACCACAGAAAACGTTATGGTGCACTAGATCGTAAACAATTAAAGGAAAGCCAAGTTCTGTTATCTCATCCTTCCAGTATCATGGAGTGACATATGATCCTGCCTTGGTTTGCTTCACACATTTAATAAATCCTTACAGTTCCCGAACTATGTCGCCTTAATTCTGCATTAAGGCAAGCTTCATTTAAAATATTATGGAATGTTTTTACACACTTAAAAGTTGGCAATACTGCCAAATAATGACAGGATTATATGACAGATTTCTTCTTTTTTTTAAATGTTTTAAAGTTTAAATCTTTTCAACAGCAACAATAACACATATTTATTGTATTTTAGATTAATCACTATTTGTCTGTATAAGCAGTTATTTTGCAAGACTCCTTAGGTAACTTTGCATTGTTAAATAATAGAGCTAAAAAAAGCCTATCACAATGTCCCTTACTGTAGATGAACTGAATATTGCGCTGTGATGGGTTTAAATGGATGAATGAGAATGTATCTTCTTCTGCACAGTCTTTCAACTTCCACAACTGCTTTGACTCCAGTTTCTGAAAAACATGAGATATGAAAATGAACACACTTGCAACGGATAAAGGCTATAAAGTATGGTAAAAAGACACGTGCTTAATTGATTAACCACGTCATTAAGATGTGTCATGGAGTATATCTACGCTTTTCTTAACCTTGGCACCAAATGGAAATGGTCAGCTTCACACCTCTGCCCTGCCTAGGCACTATACTCACTGAGCTATCCTAGCTCCCAATAATGTAATAAACTGTGTATCATATATCTTTGAGGCTGTATATCAGACATTGGCATAATCATTATGGTATCATCAGGTTACTAAATTCCAAAGAGTGCTAGATTCTGTGATGCAACACAGCATACAGAAGTCCCACTAACTCTGCCTACCACCAGCTTCTTGACAAATTCTTGCTTGGGTTATTCTTAAGACCATGAAGATCAACACACTACCTTCCTCCAAAACGTTGGTAGAATTCTACTGGACTACATGGCATTACATCCCACAAGCTAGAATTCTTCAGTCATTGCTATGAGAACCTCAAATTCTGCTTGCTTGTTTCTTTCAGCATACTGTGACATGACGCCTGAAAGCCAGAACAGTGGAGCCAAAGTAGATGTTCATTGCTAGGCAAAGAATCAGAAAACAGGTTCCCATGGCAACGATTATGAAAGCAGCGATGAAGGGATTGTTAGGAAATGGTGTTTTCTGTTGGGATGACCCTGAGGCTATACAACAAGGACCACAGCTGGCTGAAAGAATAACTGAGTCTCCTGAGATGGCAGTTGAATGATTGAGTTGGGTTGCAAGAGTGTGGCTGTGAAAAGAAGACTTCATGTGTGCTGCAGTTAGTGAGACAGGTATAATTACTGCATTGAAATTTGCTGCGACTAGTGAATACTGAGAACCCTACTGTGTGTGTAATGGTGAACTGTAAAGTGTTAGATCAGCGATAGTGCTGTATTACTTGTAGTTAGGAGTTGAATGTGTAAAGAAAAGTAAAGTAAGGGTATCCCTGTAACAGGCCATGGAGGCCCATAGGGTTCTGAGATGTTGAGGGTCCCATATTATCTAGACCAATGCTTCTCAACTGCCAGGCCACAGCCCAGTACTGCCCAAGCATCAATTATACTGGGCCACGAGAGACTCTTCTGGAATTTGTCATTTTCATTTTCTAAGCATTTTTCATGAATAAATATTTTATAGTAAAAATATTCTGAGGAGAATAATATTTGTGTCGAGAAGCTCAGACACAGAACACCTAAATCTGTGTAGCAAATGTCAGTGACCAAGCCGCATATTTTTAAACATGGAAGTATTCATGAATGATCGGGAATTTTCAGACATCCAACTCTTTAACATTCGGGAAGGGCAATACCGAAGTTTATGACCAGTCATAAAAATTGCCTGCAAGCCCATTACAACAATGGGCGACATATCCTCTGTTCTCGGAACCGAGTGAAATAACATCTGTGTTGCAAATGTCAGTGACCAATCAGCAAGCGAGTATAAAGAAAATGTTTCCATTGAAATTGAAGATCAAGGCAGTCCGTATCTGGTTCTCACATCTAGTAATACTGAATACTGTTTCTTCGCAAGTTCGCATTGCAGTGTGTAAGTGCTTGTTTCAAAACCTGAGTGATTTAAATTTTAATATGAATAAGAGACAGGGGACTTTGTTTAATTTTGGTGTTAAGAAATCTCGTATTGAAGGTGTTTGTGACGCAACAAGTAGTGAGTCACCCACCTCAAGCCTACATAGCAATCTCCAGGATGTACAAAATGAAGGGAAAACCACCAGCACACAGAAGAAAAAGTCTGCATCCATTTGTAAGTACATGGACAGCTACTTAAAATTCGGTTTCATACAATGCCCTAACACTGACCAATTGCCACAACCTCAATGTGTCATTTGTGCTACTGTTCTGGGAAATGAAGCCATGAAGCCATTGCGACTTACCCGACATCTCAACACAAGATATTCCGATCTAGTCAACAAACCCTTTGAATTCTTTATGCGTAAAAGAGATGCACTTAAAGTAGAAAAGAAAATTATTTACCAAGCTTCAACCACTGACACTTCACTTCTGATGGCATCCTATTTAATATCAGTACAGATAGCTAAATGTAAAAAACCATATTCCATTTGGGAAGAACTCATTAAGCCTTCTTTGATTGCTGCTTCTAATGAAGTATTAGGTCGGTCTGTGGCAAGTAAAATGAAAGACATCCCATTGTCGAATGATACAGTTGGTAGGCAGAAGATACTGAAATGCAAGTCATTGAAAAAATTAAAAAATCGAAATTGTTTGCATTACAACTGGATGAATCTACAGATATTCAAAACAGCAGCACTTTAGTTACGTATGTATGATATACTGACCATGATGAGAGTGACATGAAGGAAGACATTTAAAGTGTTTCTGAATTACCTATGCACACTACCAGCAGTGAAATTTTCAAAGTTTTAAATGGTTTCATTGAAGAGAGATGTCTTGAATCGAAAAATGGCGTTGGAGTTTGCACTGTCTTACAGGTACAAATTCAGGTTTGGTCACTAAAATTAAGGATATGGGGAGCAATAACTTAGTGTCAACACATGGCTACATTCACAGGCAAAACCTGGCCTCCAAAAAAATGGCACCTGAGCTTAATCAAGTCCTGTCTCAATCTGTTAAGATTATTAATTATATAAAAAAGTGCTTTAAATACAAGACTGTTAAAAGCATTGTGCAATGAAATGGGCTCTCATTATCAAAATCTTCTTTTCCATTCGAAAGTTTGTTGGTTGTCCCGCAGTAAAGTTCTCAAGAGGTTATATGAATTCCGAAAGAAAGTCGAGCTCTTTCTAATTTATAAGAAAAGTAACCTGTCCCATTATTTCCAGGATAAGAAATCGGTAGCCAGGCTGGCGTATCTCAGCGACATATTTTCTTACATGAACGAGTTGAACTGAAAACTTCAAGGTCCAGATGCAACAATATTTAATGCGTGGAACAAGATCGAATCATTCGAAAAGAAACTCAAACTCTGGCTTAATTTGATTGCAGAAGGAAACAATGAAATGTTTCAGTCGTACTCAGATTATATTATGGAAGCAGATGATTTCTATTCACAGAATTCAGTTTCAGATATTATTGCAGCCCACTTGAAGATGTTGTTGTCGTTTGAAAAATATTATCCCGAACATGAGGATCCCTGGAGGAAATATATGTGGATTGTAAACCCTTTTGTTGAACACAAAGAGACAGTCTTTCCCATGAAGAAACCCTTCAATTTATTGAATTATCAACGGACAAAGGACTGGAAAGTACTTTTAATACTACGAGTAATTCGACATTCTGGATAATGAAAAATGAATATCCAAATTTACATGAAATAGCAGTGAGGTTTCTTCTTTGTTTTTCCACTGCATATCTTTGTGAAACTGCATTTTCTGCCATGACTGTGCTTAAAACGAAACAGAGGAACTGCATGCAAAGTTCTGACTGTCTCCATTTGGTATCACTTCAATTCATCCCAGAATTAATAAGCTAATGGACGCAAAACAGAAACAGAAGTCTCACTAGCCTAACTAAAACCTTCCAAACTCAGTTGTGATAAAAGAAACTAAGTTTAACTTTCCAGTAACTTATAATTGCTTTGTTAAAGTGCTGCGTCTTTAAAATCAAAATATTAATTAGTGTTGGAAGTAGTGTTTAGAATTGAGAGATTCATACATTTTTATTTATCAAATTACATACTTTACATATATAATTATTTGGCATGTGTATGTGATAAGTGTTTCGCCGGCAAGTTGACATCCTTCTGCTTCTTCCCCTGCTCAGCTGACTTCTACGGTGAGTTACAATGTATAAATATTTTTTCTCACTGCCGTTTTTTTCAAACCAACATCATTAAAATCAATTTAATAATACAATAATCAATTTTACACTGAATAACATAAGATTTTGGTGATCAGCATGGGATATGTCAATGAAAATTAGCATAAATTAATTTAATGATGTTGGTCTGAGGAAAGTACAAAATGCTAGAATATTTCATTAGTCCAGTGATCGATAACTAATTTAAATGTAATTTTATGTTTGTCAACATGCCACACCATATACATAAGTGTACTAATACTCTTTATGATTATGCTATAATTAATTACTAATATTACGTTAGCTTAATGCATGAACTTTAACAAAACTGGAAAGGTACTTACGAGTAAATTTGTTGGGACGGGGCCCTCGTCTTATAAAAAAAGAACTTACTGGGCTGCAGTCTCATAAAGGTTGAGAACCACTGATCTAGACAATCGGCTCATAGATGGCGGTAAGTTTGTCCGCCTTATGAGCCAGCTGCCCTTTAGCCCCAGGAATATTCCTGGTACTCATTTCTGCTAGAGGCTGAGTTGACCCCTGGGCCATACAGTGCGGCTGGAAGGACGAGGTAAATTGAAGAACTCCACCTCATCGAGACTCGAAACCTCGACTTTCTGGCTTGTAGCATAGTGCCTCAACCAACTACGCTACCATGTGCCCCCTCAAGTTGAATGTGTGAGCGCAATAAATCCAATCATCTAATCGAAACCCTGTCAATAGTCACTAATACATGTGACAATACGACAGGAACCAAAATCACCATGAGCACACACGTTGTCTACTCAAAGTATGCTGTACCCTCAAAGGTGTTTTAGACAGACTACATTAGACCTGCTGGACATGTGCATATGATGTTACAATAATGCAATGTGTGGCCAATCAAGGTTGAAGCATCTGAAACATCTCCTGTCACAGGGAACAGTTGCAGTCCCTGTGAAAACACATCTCTTCAATGAGAAAATTGTAACAGCCTTTGAGATGTGATGTCATATAGTCTTGTAGAACACTGCCAACATTTTGAAGAAAACTGCTGTCTCCATCTTTAGGGCAGAATAATAAAATGAGCACTGAAAAAAGCAGTAAGAATACAGGAATAGGGAGGATGGGGCCAGGGCTCTGAGGGTACCAATCAGAGTAAGGGGAACAGTGTAAAGAATATTTGGCCCTTTGGAGGGTATTCTTCCAAGGGCAGTCATGGGCCAATGGGAGGTAGTGGCTCTCAGAGGGGTGGTTACCACCTCCCATGACCCCACTCACAGTCCAGTATCCTTTCCCACTCTTCCTATATAAATACATCTTAATTTCTGGCATGTTTTACACTTTTACCCTGAAGATGGAGACTAAAAATTCTTCTCAAATGTTGGTACCTTTCTACATGACTACATGTCATCACATCCCGCAAGACAGTAAGCATAATCTATTAAGAGCATTAACTACAAGAACAGTCTAAAACATGCTAAAAGAATATAATAAATTACTTACATTGTGATGATTATGGTACATATTGCACTCACAAGTTGGCTGGCCTGGTTAGGCAATGAGTATTTAATTGTTCAGTTTGCAGCAGGAAACATCTGCTGTTGGCTTGCATCAGACTCAAAATCACTCCATGCATTGTTTAGTTCCATGAAGACAAGTTTGGCTATTTGTTCATTTGGTGTTCCCATTTGCTGCAATGAAGGAGAACCAGTTTAGCATGAAAAACATGTTGGGGTTACTTTTTGACAACCTGGGATGTGATAATGTACTGCCTGGTCAGGGCTACTGCATACCTCAGGGAGCAGCAACAAAAGAAACAGAGTAATGGTGGAATTATGATTAGCAGTGGGAAAATTAAGCAACATGGAGAGAAACCTACTCCAGGGCTATTCTGTTCATCATGGATGAATCATCAAGTAGCCTTGGTTTGAACCCAAGGCAGCACAGTGAAGCTCCAATGTCTAGCAGCCTGAGATAAAAAGGGCATATTTGTGATTCTCAATTCCAGTTTGGTCAATCTGGTTTTAACCATCTTTACAATCTGAAGCAATCTGTCTACTGGGATATAGCGCCATGCAGCCCACTGAAAGTCAACTGATGTTTCAGAGGAACATGTCGCCTCCATCTTCAGTATCGAAGAATCAGTCAAGCAATAAACAAGAGTGAAAGCAGGATCTACTTGCTACCTGCATCACAATGGTTTCTTGCCTGGCTTATTCTTTGGCTCTAAAAATGGAGACAACATGTTCCCCTGAAACACTGGTTGACTTTGAATGGGTGTTCTTTTCTTTCATCGTAATTCTGCCAAACATGGCCTTTATTATAGTAAATAAGTAACTGCATAAAAAACTGTTAGCTAGTGTGATAACAGGGTCTCACTGATGAAAGACTTCAGCACCAGGTATTCATCAGCTTCTTCACTAAGCATTTTACACAGATAAACAGAAAATCTGTAACATTTTTCCTCTGTCGGTCCACTTCTGGACAATTCCCTATTATTTTATTACACCAAATATATTAAATAAACACCATACAACACCATGTAGTCTGGTAGATGTTTGCCAAAATTTCAGAGAAACATACTGACTCCATCTTCAGGGCTCAAGACACATTGAGAGAGCAGTACATTCCTTAAAAATGCAGGTGAACTTCTAACAAACTACATAATGTCACATCCCAGAAGATAGTACTCTTCATAGTCAAAAGCTGTGAGAACTTTCAATCCTAAGTCATTATTTAAAATGCCTTACCTTATCAGGATGGACAGCAAGGCAGGCTCGTCTGTATGCCTTCTTAACGTCAGATGGGGTAACTAGTTGGTGCATTTCACATTTGTTCCATTTTGCATCTTCCCACAAAACGGTATGCATCGAACACAAAAGTGCCCTGATATTGTGCGTCTTACCATCAATCCAATCAAGGATCTGAAGAGGGATATATATAACTTTACACAGATTCATAAATACAGAGTATGGCTTCCTGGTTTGTAATGCCTTGTAGTTTGGAGACAGCCCAACATTTCAGAGAAATGTCACATCCATTTTCAGGGATGAAGAGTAAGCCAGTCAAGATACCAATGAAAGCAGGTGGCAAGCTGAGTTTCTGATGGTTTCTTGCTTGGCTTACCCTTTGACCCTGAAGATGGAGGTGACATGGTCCTCCAATATGTTGGACACTCTCTGAACTATAGGGTCTTAGAATGCAGAAGATTGTACTCTCATAGTAATTGCTGTGAAAACCTCAAATCCAACACAGATTAAAGAATTCTTAAAAATATGCTATTTTGAAGTCATTGTAAATACAAAATATACAACTCTGTGTGATACGTATCATTTTACTTGAAAAATATAAGTGCAATGAGGACAGTAACCTCCATACTTAAAAAATCTGGATACATGAACATTTCGAAGAAATAAGATGGAATTTCTTGTTACTGGATAGTATGTAAGAATTTAAAATCAATCAGTAAAGAACAAAATTAATGAAGACAGACAAAACTGGAGACACCATTTGGATAGAATGACTGATTAATGAATGACAGAAGATCCTACATTACACACAAAAAGGGCACAGACACCAAGGAAGACCTTGGAAGAGATGGGAAAATTATGTGAAGTCAGAAGAGGCTTAAATGACCATACCATGAAATGAAGTTGAATACAAAATGTGAGCTGTACACAGAGAACATAAAACACTGTGATTTTTTGTGGGTTTATTTTTGAGCATTTAAATTAGAGAACAGGTAACTCACATCAATGATAAACTGAAAATATCAATATATGAATCATGTCTGTTACAGACTGACTCCAGAGAAAGCCATTCATTATCACAAGAGATAAAAGTAAAACTTAGAATGGAACTATTCAGAAGAAACAGTGAAGTTCGGAGGTTTGTTATACTAATGGCTGATATGACTCATGCATAACTTTGTTGCTATTCACAAACAACTTATGGGCATCACATCACATCAGAAAACAGCACATTTGTAACTGATTCTACACACTGCATTAATTAAGCAATTTTATGCCCAGGAAATAACGAAGTGAACCAAGTCAGCAAAGGTGCTAACAGTCCTGATAGGAAAATTTTACTGAAGTGGTCTACATAGACCATCTTCAATCTGTATTTTGAAAGGAAAGAGACCTTTGAAATCTTCACAAATCAGTCACATTCCATGACAAATACTAACTAAACTTTACACAGCCACATAAAAACATTATCAATACCCAGAGAACAGACACGATACACTGAAACAGAATGGTGCCAGGTTACTTGTGACCTATAACAGTGGTCAATTATGGCCTGTAACAGAATTTTCATATGTATGTAGAGAAGTACATCCACCCCCTTGACACTACAGCCCCAGTGGGCCTAGGCCTACCTCCATGAACTCCGTTCACTTCGGTTTTTCTAGATCTTACACATATGGTAGGACTCCTTGGGCGAGTGATCAGCTCGTCGCAAGGCCTCTACCTGTAGACAAACATAGAAAAACGCACACAAACATCCAGGCCCCAAGTGGGATTCGAACCCACGATCCCGGCTTCCGAGCGAGCAAAGATAGTGCATGCCTTAGACCGCTCAGCTACCGTGACCGGCAGAGAAGTATATACTGGACATTAATTAAGAATCACAGAAGAGAATGACCCTAGTATTAGCTAGGTGGTAGCAGCAGTTTACTTAACAATGCAACTAACTCACACTAATGTTGATTTATTGCATGATAGTAAATAATGAACTGGAAAGGATCTGGAAGGAAGTGGTAGTGGGATATTTAAGGGCACTACCTGGCATTTATCTGGAGGGAGTGAGGTGCACCACAAGAAACCTCAGTCAGGATAATCCCGGTCAAGATTTGAATGAGGCATCCCTTTGATACAAGTCAGAAATGGTTCCACATTCACGTCAAATAGATGAATGATAACGAAAAGTGAATTAGAAGGGACATGAAAAGCAGCAGCTGTGGCATAAACGGAGTTACTATCCTGGAATTTTCCCGAAGGAACTAATGGAAAACCACGAAGAACTTAAACTGGTGCTCTGGCTGATATTCAAAGTGGATAGCTCCTATACACAAGGCAGAAGCATTACCACTTCAGCCAGGTTGCCTGACATTAGCTTGGTATTTTCAGAGAAACACCAAGCAGGTTGGTGAAACACTCTCAGAATTGTATTTGAGAGGTGCTTGGTTCAAAACTTGGCCAGGACCCTAGGAATCCTGACAAAGGTTCTCTGTGATTTTCCTCAGTCCTTCCCAGCAAATACTGCTATAGTACCTTGAATAGGCCATGACTATTTCCTTCCAAACCTCTTTCAATTCACCAATCATCCTACCACTTGACAGCACACAGTCTAGACACTGACAGTACCATAAAAGATACTGCATACAACAATCCACAGCGGGACTGAGAAAAGCAATGATATTTCTCAGTGAGAACAGCTATATCTAATATTGTTTATTGTACTACAGAGTCCATCAACAATGCAACAGATTGTTCCTTCTCTCTTAAACTTTCACTTTTGACACAACATGTTTTGGCCCTAAATGGCCATCTTCAGGTGTCTTACTATGCTGAAACTGCTACACTGCATCAATATTGTCCATACGTCGCATGTGCAACTGCAAGTTTCATGATTTAAAACGTCATAGTCAATTGGTATGCATTAAAATAGCACACGCTGTAGTTCACTTAATTTACATCAATAAAGTCTATTAAATTTTGTATTAAAATTTCCTTTACATTTTGTAAAATTTGGGGGCACACGGTAGCATACTTGGTTGAGGCATTATGCTATAAGCCGGAAGGCCATAGGTTCAAGTTCCGACGAGGTAATTGGATTTTTTCAGTTGACCTAATCCTTCCAGCTGCACTATGGTCCTGGGGTCAACTCAGCCTCTAAGAGAAATGAGTACCAGGAATATTCTTGGGGGTAAAGGGCAGCCGGTGTGCAAGGCTGCCACCATCTATGAGCCGATTGTCTAGAAAAGGTGGGAACCTCAACATCTCACAACCCTATGGACAGCCTGTTACAGGGATACAATTACTTTTTTTGTAAAATTCTTATTACACCTCACAAGGAGTGTTGTCCACTTGTTTTGATCTGTATCCTTTACATCAGATGTTTTATTGCGGCAGCCTGTTTTTCTAACCATAAGATTGTGGACGTAACACAATGGGCTTATTTATAGAAAAACAGGCTGCCGCAATAAAACATCTGATGTAAAGGATACAGATCAAAACAAGTGGACAACACTCCTTGTGAGGTGTAATAAGAATTTTACAGAGTGTAAAGGAAATTTTAGTAGAAAATTTTAATAGATTTTATTGATTTAAATTAAGTGAACTACAGCGTGTGCTATTTTAGTGCATACCAATTGACTATGACGTTTTATATCATGAAGTGTGCAGTTGCACATGCAACGTATGGACAATATTGGTGCAGCGTAGCAGTTTTAGCATAGTAAGACACCTGAAGATGGCCATTTAAGGCCAAAACATGTTGTTTTGAAAGTGAAACTGTAAGAGAGAAGGAACAATCTGTTACATTGTTGACAGACTCTGTAGTACAATAAACAGTAATAGATATAGTAATGCAACAGGATGCTTAAATACAGGAGAATAGCTATGGCCTAATTCTCTCCTTCAACTTCTTGTGGCAGTAATATAATCTGTTGTTGGCACTGTTTCAAAACCCGTTATATTTTGGCTTACCTTAAGTTTGTCTGGGTCCATGTCTCTTGCTAGTTCTTCTTTCCTCATTTCATTGATGGTCCTTGGTCCTGTTTCACGTTTTGGAAACTGATATCCTTGTGACCCCAATAAGTCATCAAATATATCACCTGTCTGTTTCCCTCCTTTGTTGCCAGCTTTGCCTAGCAAAATGGAAAGTGCAAATGATACATTAAACAAGATACATGATCACTCAAAAGGTGAAAAGAATCCCTTCATACAGTGTGAAAATTTATGGGAGGAAAAGGTTTCTTGGATAACTTTTCCCCATTATTTTGGGCTCATCATCATAACTCTACCGTTTTCCTTAAGGAAGAAAAGTAGCCTACAAAATCTGATCTTATATAGAAAGGTGAACGCAGAATGTACAATTGAAACTGTAATGAGACAGGAGTTCAGATCCAGGGAATGATGCGAGTCATGCCTTAACATGAAGACTCGTGTTGCACAGTTCATTTCCGTGAATCGTTATCTGTTTGCTCTCCAGGTCAATCAGCTGTGTACATGCTTTGCATTTGTCATGTCCAACTACACTGGGCTACACCACTGAAAAATTACTGACAAAAATTTATGAAAATTTTCAGCAGGACACTGCAGTCAGTGTCAACTGTACAGACTATATTCGATGAGCAAATTATGGCCATCACACTCCCTGGATGTGAAAGTGTGTCATTTATATCTGTGGTGAAACTTGAAACAGGGTCTACAGAAATAATCCACGTCTCACAGATCAAATTCCCGGATGTTATTCTCAAAAACACAGGAGACCTTCAATATGGGACAGAATTTCTTACACCAGCATGAAAAGCGCTTGCATGTCAAAAGATACAATTTACATTTACATTTATTTTCACTTCGTGGATCCAATCATCTCCCCGTAGGGCTGGATATAAAACATGTCACATATTATGACTATACACCATTTGTCCTTTGTCCAAAAATAGAATATATAATCAGGCCTCTCACATATAGCTCAAGTTGTCATGACAACACACATGGTTCGTGGAAAAGCCACAGTCAAATTCATGTCTTGCCATTCCACACACACTGGCAAGCCATATCATTAAAACAGTTACATTATAAAATATTAAAATTCTTAACAAAACAGACATCATACATACTACTACACTTACAACAAGCAAGTCTCAACAAAGTATAATTCATGCACACAGACCATTTATTAACTCTTAACTTCTGGGCCCCTTGAATGCTCGACAAATTCATCAATAGAGTAAAAACCGTTACTTTACAAATAATTTCGTAAAACAAACCTAAATTGCTTTTTTATCATTTTTTAAAACTGTGATATTTGATGGCAGAGTGTTAAATAGCTTGACGCCTGAATAATACACCCCTCTCTGAATCTTCGCAATCTTCGGTAGCTACTGCAACATCAGATTAGTAAACTAGTTTCATTAAAACATTTACTGAGCACGGATGGCACCACCAATTAGATCCATGTGGTAGTGTGTTCAAGTCTTGTCAGAAAGAAGCTGCTACTCTGAGAACTTGTGGCAATAAGGTTACAAGCAAAGGAATACAATATGACGTACTGCCTGAGTCTTGCTGCTTATTGAACACAGAGTCGAAATGAGCCCTGCTGTAGTCTGCGCTGCGGCCTGCATCCTGAGCTGGAGACTTGGCTGTGTGGTGAGGTGTGCCAACAGGTGTGCTGTAGCCTGGCATGGGTGATGTGGTGCCAGGTGCTGTCCCCTGCAACATTCTCCTTACCTCAGTCATCTTCTCTTACAAGAATCATCCTTAGCTGGTAGTAGCATGTCATATTATTAGACTAACGGTAGCAGAGATGAGATTCATTAAGAAGTACAGAACAAGAAGACAGGAGGAAGAGAGAATGAGAAATGAATGAGTAAGATAAAATTAATAAATAACAGAATAAGACAGTATGGGAATCAAAAAAGAAGATTCTGAACCTGAAACTGAACGGAAAACACCCACAAGGAAGACGGAGAACAAGATAGGAACAACAGGTTAGGAAAAATATCATTCAGAAAGGAGAAGCATGGGAGGAAACAGACAGAAGCAGCTGTGAAAAGACAGCGAGAGACACGTTCCAAATACATGTCAAAACGTTACTGAGCCAACGCCCTCAGGAAGATGAGAAGGGGAAGGGAGGGGAGGAATAAGAATAAGAAGAAACATGTTGGCAGTATGCTTATTTAGTAATAATTCTATTATAATGATATTATCCTACAAGATTACTGATCATACAACTTCTTTGACAGGGTTAAAATCTTTGCTTCTTTCTGTCCTCAGAGACACTATTTTTATAAAAAGCACTTAAAGCATTTCCTTGTGGCAAGTATGAAGAGATATTTCCAGGAACTGTTGGGATTTCACTGCTGTGATAGGAAAGGAAGGAGAAGCCATCCCACTACCAACCCCAGTGGTTACAAAGGTATGTAACAATAGTCGGATATCTCAGGGCAAAGTGTCTTGTGTCTACAGATGAGATTATGTTTACAGCCCTGCTCAGAGAACTCGAATGAGCCAGTATTGCCTCCTTCTCTTCGTTTCATACCCGATCTAAGCTACAGACAAAAGCAATGGACATCACAATACCATTCACTTGTGTTGTTCTCTCCGCTCACACTGTTTCTGCAATCTCATGGAAACGCAGTGACACCACATGCCATACTGCTTCAGCAAAGCAAACAAAGTGTACAAGGAACACGTTACTCAGGATTCCAATATATTTTCTAAACCAAAGATCCAGTACCTAGTATTGTAGATCTATTATCTTAACATTTTTGAGCCTTAAACATCAAGAATTTTTAATGGTTTAGGTACTGTGAAGACGATTTAGTTTGGGACCATGATGATATGACCAATTCAGATAGCCATAACATCAGCAATAAGCATAATGGTATTATATTTTTTTTATTGTTAGTGGGGTGGGACTAAGTCCTTTGTACTGCGGCCACTTCCGGCCTACTGTACCAGCCTCAGATGATATGTGAGGGTGATGGTGGAATGAAGATTGGCAGGGGAAACCGAAGTACTCGGAGACAATCTGCCCCAGCGCCACTTTGTCCACCACAAATCCCACTTGACCAGACCCAGGATCGAACCTGGGCCACCGCAGTGTAAAGCCAGTGACTAACCGCTTGAGCTATGGTGCGGCCATGCATAATGATAAGCATAGAATTTAATTTTTCATGCTACTTCAGTTTTATAACACATGTAGATACCTGTAAAGATTTATAGCATGGGAATAGCCGCAATAATACAATTTATCATCGATTTCTGGTTCTCAGCATTAGCTTTACTGAAATAAATTCAATCTTTCCACACCATTAATTTTTTTAATAATGATGGATGTTTTGCGGAGAGGGGCACGATACCTGAAGATTATCATTAATTACAGGAAAAAAGAGAAGACTTTCTTTCCTTCTTGAAATTATGTTCGGAGACAAATTTCTGGTAATTATACTTGCCTGTGGTGTCCAACTTGAAGGCCTGTGCTGGGGTGAAGAGCCCTGGTTAATAGGGCTCCCTGCTCTTGGGGTTCCATTCATAGGTGTAGTAGGTTTTGAGCTACCTGCCCATCCACCTGCTGATCCAACGCCCAATCCAGCCGTCAAGTTGCCTAATGGCACAAAAAATAATTCTTAATTTCTCTTGCTTCACAGTTTGGAACTTTTGAGCATGCAAGATTTCAGGTTCTCATGGTGCGTTGGGATTTCTCTTCTGGGTGACTCCTGTCCACTGTTCCCTATACACACCACTTAAAATCCATTCTAATCTCTTCTGTCTTGAACATGGAACCTGAAACTTCCATGCTAGAACATATTACAGATGGCAATCTATAATATTTCGCAAATGGATATAGACAAATGTTTTCTGGTAATGAAGTTGGTTCTGAGGTTATCCACATATTATACGAGGGAGAGTCAGCGAACAGGTCACAAATGGAAGTAAGAGGTTTTCTGTGTGTATCACTAGGTAGCAGCACAGTCCAGCTTCATGACTGTCTAGGTGGCAGATACATATGCCCATGTTCAGAGGCTGGTTTCAGTAGTCAAAATGGTGACTGTGCTTAAGGAGTATAACACTGAAATCAGCATTATGTTATGCATCTTTTTTTGGGGGGGGGGGGGAAAGAACTCAATTCAAATGATATTCATAAAGAAATGTTTCCTGTATATGGTGGGAAGTGTTTGTCATGTAAAGCTGTTCATGACTGGGTCGAGAAATTCTCCCAAGGAAGTTCGAAAGTCGCAGATGATGCCTGACCAGGCGCAGAAGAGGCTGAGCCAACAGTGAAAAAACTTCTATGGTGCGGGTTTTGACACATTGGTAAAGTGGTGGGACAAGTGTATCAATGTTAGTGGAGGATATGCAAGAAATAAATGATTTTTTTTCCAGTTTCAAATATCAAGTTTTACTTTTTACATCCATTTGTGACCTATTTACTCACCCTCCCTTGTATGAAAGAAATGTTGGAATCCAGGGACTGAAAGAGACATTCTTACAACAGTGAAGCAAACAGCAGGTGTAACAAAATGACCCTGTGAAGCTACTCCTCATGCATATATTTAACACTGGTTGCAGTGCCCACATATATGAATTGCAAAAGCCTTTCTATCTGCAGTTATGTATGTCTGACAGATATCAGAGCTGGCAGTAAGTACGAATACAACCAGAATATGGATACATAAGGTTTCTATTCTGGGATCTGAGGTTTTTACGGGAGTGATCATGAAGATTACTACTCTCTTTTGAGATGTGACAACATGCACTCCAGTAAGTCGTTACTGATGTTTCAGAGGAAAACCCATCATCTATCCTGGAGATGAACAGATCAAGTCCATTTAAAACTTTTTACACATATATCTGAATTTCTATCTTTGTGTGTATTATTCATGCACATTAGCACACCCACACTAAAGAAAGCAAGAAATAAGAGAAGAATATATCAAACATTTTGAGATTAAGGATATATGAAAGTTATTAATTATAAAACTACTCTTTTAAACAAACCTAGTTCCAAGACTCAGTCATTGGTCATAATTGCATGAGGCATATTTTCTGGGGTTCTCCTACTGTCTGCGCCATTTCTTTCAAAGATTTCTTCATGCTCAATATAATAATTTTATCAGAATGTAAATACCTGACATGGCATTGTATTGTAGCATCCTGTTGCACTTTTCACTTGCATCAATCATTCACTGTCTTACGTGCAATGCTATGTTCCACAAAGCTTCGGCCATGTTGGCCAAAACATATAGTGTTTTTTTAAAACTTAAAAAAACTTTTAAACTTATACTGATGATAAGTTTTGTGGAACGTAGTGTTGCACGTAAGACGGTGAATGATCAATGCAACCTGACACGGTGTTAATAAATTACCCATAAACACACTGCTGCCTACTCACCAAGATCTGCAAAAGGATCCCGAACTTTACTTTCAAGATTTGGTGTACTGGCATTACGGGGAATTGAGGAGCCAGGCCCTTGGGGTCGTGAGAACCCATCCCAACCTCCAAGCAAGTTTGATGTCTGGGATCCAGACACATGGTTTGCTGTGAAACTAGGCACAGAGTTCTGGAAACAAAAACCAGACGTGAAAATATGAGACACAACAGTACACTATGGATCTAAAACTCACACCAATCACATGTGTGATGTAAATCTTGTTTTAAGAGGGAAGAGGTGAGTTACGGGGAAGAGTCAGTAAACAGGGCACAAATGGAAATGAAAGAGTGAAACACGTGATATTTGAACCTGAAAAGAAAAACATTTTAATCTTAAAATGTCCTCCCTCATCGCTGATGCATTTGTCCCATCATTTTACCAGCGCATCAAATCCCGGAGCACAGAAGTCGCCATCAGCAAAATGTTTGCCACCCAGTTGTGAAAAGACAAACATTTCCCTCCATAAACAGGAAAACATACCTTTATGAATATCTTTGCTTTGTGTCCTTTTGCCCACAGAAAATTCCAAAGAGAACACTGCTCTCCCAATGTACACACCTCAAGCATGGTTGCCATTCTGACGACCGAAACCAGCCTCTGAATATGCACGTGTGCTACCTAGACTGTCACAAAACTGGACTGTGCTGCTACCTAGTGATACACAGAGAAAACCTGTTATGTCCACTTCAGTTGTTTTACTTCCATTTGGGACCTACTGACTGACTCTCCCATGTATATTTTGTAGTTTTCTGGCATAACATTCTGCATGCACACACGCCCGCACACACACACACACACACACACGCGATCCTTACCTTATCTGGATGATTTAACGAATAATAATTTGGAAATTATATGGAAAGAGGTGGTCATGGCCTAATTTGAGGTACTATCCCAGCATATGCCTGGAGGATATGAGGAAAACCAAGAACAAACCTCAGTCAGCAGAACAGCTAGTATTCTGACCAAGATTCAAACTAGTAACATCGTTGCAGCTGAAGCAAACCTGATCATTAGTAAGAAAAAAATTAACATTTTGTTCATATGTGAAGGACCCTTACAAGAACCTCATCAAAATTAGACAGACACAAGCAATCCAGAACATTTATTTTATGTACAAGTGTATAATGATAAGGTTACATTAAATGTGCAGGAGAGGAAAATTTTGAGGACCAGTAACCGAGCCAGGGGTATGGAAAGTCAGAACAAACAATAGTAGCAGGAATTACACAAAACTCCTACACTACAAGGAGAAGGTGGGAGAGGCTGGAGCATGCGATAAGAATGGACTTAACAAGGGTGGCTAAAAATATTTTAGAAATTATGCCAGAAGGTAGAAGAGAAGTGGTAAAGTCCACACTCAGCTGGCTGGAAGATGCAGGGAATGATTTATGACAGCTAAAGGTGAGGAGATGGAGCCAAAAAACAAACAGCGAGAAGATGGAACATCTATTGTAAAGGGGACCAGGGCTCTTGGAGGACTGGAGATCCAAGGAGGAAGTAAGTAACTGTTATATGGTAAAGGTAAAGTTGCCCCTGTACTTAACTAATTAAGCATTACACCATGCAGGCGTATGGGGGAGTGGATGTATAGACCCACATTTTCTTGACCTCAGCACTAGTTGGAGGTGAGTGGTCAGCTTCAAGCTCTGGCTGTTTAACCCCTGGGAAAAAAGCCCCTGGTGCCCATTGAATAGGAGGCCGGGTGGAAGCCAGAGCTGGTCTAGACAACATGGAGAAGTGAAAGTTCTTGAGCTCACCGGGACTCAAACTCTGACCCCTCTGTCATCCAGCCCATAGCAAGTCGCTATACCGACTGTGCAATCCCGGCTCCTAACTGTGATACAGTATTCTTTGAAAAAGAGGGAGCTTATAGATGGCAGCATGCATCCACCTAGAAACCCAAAGCATTTTCCCATCTTGGAAACAGAACAGCAAGCAACATCTTAAAAAATACAATTCTGTTCTCACTCTTAAAAAACAGTACATATTTATGTCCAATATTAAAATGTGGACAGTAAGATAAAGCTGTCCCTGTACTTAATCAATTTGGTAATAAAGCACTACATCATGGAGACATGTGGGGGGGTGGAGGTATATACATCCTTGACCTCAGCACCAGATGGAAGTCAGTGGTCAGGTCATGCCCTGGCTGCTTTAACCCCATGGAAAGCACACCCAGTACCCACTGGATATGAGGCTGGGTGGGCCTCATAGCTGGTCTGGCCATTGTGGAGTGGGAAAAAAATCTCTTGCCCTTACCAGGAATCATAAACTCCAGTCATCCAGCTCATAGCCTGTTGCTATACCAACTGAGCTATCCTGGATGCCAATGTAACAATATGTAAATGTGGAGAAACTTCTACCACTTAAGTACAATGGCAAATTTTTCATTATAATGTATACCTGACAATGTCTATTTTATTTCTTTCACATTAACATAGGCTGTCTACAGTAGTTACACATTTATACCTGAGAACCAGTACCACCAAATGGATCAAACATCAGATCTGGATTTCTTGACCCCTGGGATGGATTACTTCCTTGACTTCCTTGAAGCAAATCTTCAAGCCCTGACCCTCCTCCTCCGAAGCTGGTTGCGGACACTGGCTGAGAAAACCCTCCCAACAAATCTACATTGCTCTGTGGCTTATGATTTGGTGCCAAGTTCAGAAGATCTACATTACCATGTTGACTGTTGGCATCTGCGAGAAAAACAAAGAACACAAATAACCCACCTGATCATAATTATCATGCTTGGTTTTCTAAAGAAACATGTACGCTGGTACCTTCATACATGGTTCAACCTCAAGGCTGAAGCATACAACGCACTGGCTAAAGTGTAGCATTTGACTCGATATATTTGCTGGTACAGTCAACTCTCGATTATCCGGGGGCGGATTAACCGGTTTGCGGCTTAACCGGGGCTTTTTTTTTAAGGTTTATATGTTGTTTAATATTCATTCACTTTTGTTTCACATGGTGAGTTTAACACTATTTTCGCACTAGTGTGAACCGAGCTCTGCATTATTTCGTCCCGTTATGCGAACACAATGTTCTAGGGTGGGGGTGAAAGAATGCAAGAATTTTTGGAAAGTTTCAAGGACAAATACACCGCCCCAGGTTATTTAACGGTACCATCTCAGTGTGAGAGTGCATTGTGAAAGTAAGTATCAGTTTCTTAATATAGATCTTCAAGTGCGTTAGCAAAATGTCGGGGTTTAAAAGGAAGCGTGTTGTGTTAAGTATTCAACAGAAACTTGAAATTATCAATCAGCTGGAAAAAGGAGCTGTAGTTAAACAATTAGCAATGCAATACGGTATTGGAGAACAAACTGTTCGTGATTTGAAAAAACAAAAGAATGAGTTAATTTCCTTTGCTTCGTCTTCTAATTCAAGCGGAATGAAGAAGAGAAAAACCATGAAGAAATCAACATACGATGATCTCGACAAAGCGATGCTGACCTGGTTTAATCAACTAAGGGCACAGGGAACAACAATAACAGGACCAGTTTGTGCTAAACAAGCTAAATATTTTTTCGAAGCACTTGAACTAGAAGGGAGTTTTGACGCTTCTTCCGGTTGGCTAACACGTTTCAAGCAGCGTCATGGAATACGAGAAATCAGTATTCAAGGTGAGAAATTGTCAGGGGACTTGTCAGCATCAGATCAATTTTGCACCAATTTTGATAGTTTTGTGAAAAGTGAAAATCTGCTGCCAGAACAAATCTATAATGCCGATGAAACGGGTCTTTATTGGAAATGCTTGCCAACCAGAACATTGGCATTTCAAAATGAAAGACAGGCTCCAGGTCACAAATCCAGTAAGGAGAGATTGACAGTCTTGTGCTGTTCTAATGCATCAGGAACACACAAACTAATACCAGTAGTTATCGGCAAAGCGAAAAGACCACGCTCTTTTAAAGGAACAGTAGCTTCAAGTCTGCCTATCCATTATTTTAACCAGAAAGTAGCTTGGATGAATAGAGCGATATTTAAAGAATGGTTTGATTTTAAATTCGTGCCTCAAGTTCGTGACCATCTAAAATCCCAAGGCCTACCTGAGAAAGCTGTGCTCCTCATTGACAATGCGCCCTCACATCCTAACGAAAGTCTCCTGAGGTCAGATGATGGAAATATTTTTGTGAAATATTTTCCCGCTAATGTTACCGCACTTATCCAACCAATGGATCAAGGAGTTATCTCAAGTATGAAGAGAATCTACAGATCAAATTTGCTACAAAAGTACATCGATGAAGGCAATGATCTGACGTGTTTCTGGAAGTCCTTTTCAGTATTAGATGCCATATACGAGATTTCAACAGCGTGGGATACAGTAAAGCCATCTGTATTGAAAAATTCATGGAAGAAACTGATGCCTTTCATCACTAATGAAGATGACGAAATCCATGGATTCACTGGATTCAGTGAAAATGAGATAGCCATAAAATTGACAAAAGTGGCTAACCAAGTTCATGGTGGTGAAGAAGTCAACGAGGAAAATATAAGAGAGTGGTTTAACTGTGACTCGTGTGAACCGGGCTTCGAAATGTTAAGCAGTGACGAAATCGTAACTTCAATGGGGGTGCAGCCAGAAGAGCGGGAAGAAAGTGAGAATGAGGAAGAGGTGGACAGTGTTGCCAGTAAGAAAGTATCACATGGTGCTGCGCTTAATCATTTGGAATCCTTACTAGACTATCTTGAGAGTGAAGAGGACAGTTTATTAAGTGACAAGCTAATATTACGTAGGCTTCGTACGGATATCCGTAAAAAGGAAAATGCCGCGAAAAAGCAAAAGACAGTATTAAATTATTTTAAGTGTTAAGTGTGACCGTAAAAAGTGCTGGATGTTGTTGAACAGTGATTGAAATAACTAATTCATACTGAGTGTAATGTAAAGAAAGTATTAAATAGGCCATGAGATGACATAGAAATGAGGATGAATAAATTTAAATACAGGTAGGTCTATAGTATTATGAAGGTATTAAAAGGTAAAAGGTAAAGTTGTTCCTCTGCTCAACGAATTAAGCCCTACGCCATTAAGGCGTGTGGGGGAGTGGATGTATAGATCCAAATTTTCTTGACCTCGGCACTAGTTGGAGGTGAGTGGTCAGCTTCACGCCCCGGCCGCTTTACCCCCGGGGAAAGAGCCCCCGGTACCCATTGGATAGGAGGTTGGATGGACCCCAGAGCCGGTCTGGACGATTTGGAGAAGTTAAAATTCTTGACCCTACCGGGACTCGAACTCCGACCCTTCACAGTCGTCCAGCCCGTATAATAAAATTTGGCTTAACCGGGTTTTCGATTAACCGTGACTTCCATCCCCACCATTAGCCCGGATAATCGAGAGTTGACTGTATGCACATTTGTTTGCTGGTTACATACCAACTGCAAACAGCACTGCACACAGCCAAACTAATGTCAAGAAGACTCCTTATTTTGTTACTTCCAGAGATTCCTAACTAAAACATTCTTCCACTCACTCCCTCATCAATGTACACGGCCTGACATAACTCATTGCTGAATATCACTGTGGTTCCCTTCAAAAGTACTCCCCTTGGGAAGCTATGCACTGATGCCAGTGCCTAGTCCACTCTTCAAAACAATTCTGGAACTGGATTTGTGGAATGGTCATCAGAGTCATCATTATATCACTCCTGATGTCATCAATGTCATCAAAATGCCTTTCTTTCAACATTTCCTTATCTTCGGGAACAGAAAAAACGTATTGGGGGCTAGATCTGGTGAACAGGGAGGGTGTTCCAGCATAGTTATTTGCTTACTAGCTAACAACTCCCTCACAGACAGTGCTGTGTGAGCAGGTCCTTTGGGACCACACACACACCTTTCTCATGTCAAGTTCTCCAGTTAAGATTTGTTCATAGCATTATTCCCTTAAACTTGCACTAACACCTCTGATTTTGCTTCCACTCTTGCCAAGTTTAACAAGAAATTTAATGTTCGTTAATTGTTCTAATTCAGGCTGCAACGCTCTCACAACAGCACACCAAAACACACTCAGACAATAATAGACACCACTCAGAAAGAGACTGCTAGAGAACAACAACAACAACGATGACGACAACCACAACAACACAGCTGTAAAATGCTGATATGCCAATGTCATCAAACCATACTGAGGTTTCTGTCCACTGCTGTCACACAAGCACAAGGTGGCGAGTTCGCGAACTTTATTGTCAGACCTCATATGTGGCTAATTACTCTTGTTAAACTGTAATATTATGGTCTGGCTTAATGGCCTCATCAACAGAATGTACAGAGGAAACAACACATATATGCGATACTGAATGCAGTAATAACCCATGACAATCAGCCTGAAATTATAAAAGAAAAGCATATACCTTTCAGTCCGAATTTTAGTTTTATCTTGTCTTGACTTTGATTCTTCATCACGGCTCTGATACTATTCTTCACAAAAATATAAAGTCTACTCCATAAGCATAAAACTGTACCTGCTGTGTTCAATCCACTTCCGCTGCCACCTCCTATATCCAGAAGTGTAGCTTCTGTCTGTTGTGGGGGTGGAACAGGTCTTGAAGCAAGTGTTTCATTATCACCTTCTAAAAGACCTTCCCGTTCTTCAGGATTCACCTACACAACAGGAGAAGTTACATGTAATATGCTCTAAGCATTTATGAGACAATCCACTCCTGAGTTTTCATTGCAGCCTTCTTGTTTAATCTTTTCCATGATGACATTTTGGCTAATTTAAAATACTTTGGTGTCAGAAGGGCATAGATGCACATCTGTAATGTGATGAAACATACTGAAACCAAACTTCATCCAACCTAACGTGACAAAGGATATATGCAATGTTCACGGTGTACAAGGCCCTCTTTAAGACAACAGGTGTCAGACAGAACAACACATTTAAAAAGCAAATCTGGAAATACTACAAGTGATGTAAAGACATACGTGGTGCAATCCAAAAGTTCCCAAAATATATTAATAAAAACTATTACATCTTTCCTAGATCTTATTCTGCACCATCACCTTCAAAGTAGTCCCCTTGGGAGCGCATACACTGATCCTCAACTATATCAAATCTTTGCCCCTTCAAATTGATTTTCATCTTGGGGAAGAGAAAGAAGTCGCATGGAGCTAAGTCTGGTGAGTACGGTGGGTGGGGAACAACTGCCATCTTGTAAGATTTGAGGCTTTCACAGTGGTGACTATGAAGAAAGCAGTCTTCTGGGATTTGACACCGTGCATATGTGGGGTTAACACCACATATACACGGTGCCAAATCCCACAAGACTGCTTTCTTCAACTGCCATCTTGTTTCTAGCAAAAAATTACTGCACAATGTAAGCCGTATGCGGTCATGCGTTGCCATGGTGGAGTACCCAGTCATTCGTGCGCCACTTCTCTGGACGTTTTCTCCTCATGTTCTCCCTCAAACGCCTTAGAACATCATGACAGAACTCTTTATTGACTGTCTGACCAGGAGAGACAAACTCCTTATGAACAATCCCGTCAATATCAAAAAAACAGATCAACATGGACTTAATGTTGCTCTTGACTTGTCGAGCTTTTTTTGGCCGAGGTGAAGAAGGGCTCTTCCATTGTGACGATTGCTCCTTGCTTTCAGGGTCGTAGCCATAAACCCAGCTTTCGTCACCAGTGACAACCTTCGAAAGAAAGTTTGGATCCTCTTGAAGCTGTTGCTCAAGTTCCCTGCAGACTTCCAAGCGATGCTGCTTCTGTTCATTTTGCAGCAGTCGTGGCAAAAACTTCGCTGCAATCCTCCTCATGTTCAGTTCCTCTGACAAAATTCGTTGACATGTACCATAACTTAGTCCCAAGATGTTAGAGAGGTCTTGGATGGTCAGTGTACGATCTTGCAGAATCAGATCCCTAACTTTCGCGATATTTTCTGGTGTTTTGCCCGTTGACGGCCGTCCCGAACGATCGTCATCATCAGTCAATGTTTGGCCATTTTTAAAACGCTTATACCAGTTGTAAGTTTGTGTCTGGCCTAAACTGTTTTCACCAAAAGCTTGCTTCAACATTTGGTGTGTTTCTGCAGCAGTTTTCCCAAGTTTCAAAACAAAACTTTATACAGACACGCTGCTCTCTCAGGTCAGACATCGCAAAACTGCAAACTCACGGAAACACAACAATGGAAATACGTTCACCAACAATAAACCCAACCACTCAACTCAACGCCGCTTGCCACACTGATTCAAGAAGGATGTGTGAGGAGACACCTAGCGGTATTTCGATGTACTCCTAACCATTCGCGAGCAAAATTCAAATTTCGGAAACTTTTGGATTGCCCCACGTATTTATGTTTTGAGGTTTATATGGCAGGAAGGATTGATATTGAGATGTTCTGAGCTCAACACTATGCAGCCCTATCACACTGCTAAGTGAATGTGACACAATGTAGTCTGTAGCACGAGCATGATACCCACATTTTGAAGGAACATGTTGCCTGGATCTTCGGGAGTGAAGTTTGCAGGATAGTGACCACTCAAGATGCACGGGAGAGGGTACGAAAATGGAGCCTGGTCAGAGCCAATGGGTGTGGTAGGGAGGAAAACGGCTATTTTCAGCGCCTCAATAAGTCATCTGTCATGGGAGGAAATTGTGAAAATTAATATGTCTCTTTTAAAGTTCCCCCACATTTCTTCCCCATAGGGGGGGAAGAGATTATTTTTGTGTCAGATATAGCAGCTTCGCTACATTTGGAGCATCGCTTTGTATGGGGCTGAAACTTGGACACTTAGGGCAGTAGATCAGAAACACCTGGAAAGCTTCAAAATTTGATGTTCGAGAAGGATGCAGAAGATCAGTTGGACCGATTATGTGAGAAATGAAGAAGTGTTATTTAAAGTCAGTGAGCAGAGGAATATCCTACACGAAATAAGAAAACGGAAGGCTAATTGGATTGGTCATATCTTACACTGTTACTGCCTTCTAAAAGAAGTTACTGAAGGAAAGATAGAGGGGCAGATAGAAGTGACCAGAAAACGAGGAAGAAGACGTAAGATGCTGGATGACCTTGGGGACAGAAGAGGATATTTTCATTTGAAGGAGAAAGCTCTAGATCGCATCAAGTGGAGGAACTGTTTTGGAAGAGACTGTGGACCTGTCGTCTTGACAGATTACAGATGAATGAATGAATCAATAGCAGCTTCATATGATAACTTTAACCTGAAGTTAAATCTGCTGTGCTGGCTCATGAAAGTATAGAACAGAAAAATTCTGAATGCATGGCAGCATTTTGATTATAAACACAATTAATATTAGTGTTTATTGTTTTAATAACAATAAGTAATCATTAGTAAAATAAATTATTATTTATTTGTTTATTTATTTACAAACTACCTGATGATGGTCCATGTAACTTAACCATACAGTGGTTGAATGAGACAATAAAACTGAACAAATCACTGATATTTTTATTGATTTTAACATGTCTTATTAAAATCTAATTTACTTTGTTGTAGTGCTGAAGGCTCCCGTGCCTTAATTTTATAAAGTAGTGTGATGAAAATAAATGAATACATGAAATAAAAAGAAACTATGCTAGAATCCAACCTGCTGAGAGACAGAATTCCAAAGCACAATATAATTTTTAAGAGGATGAAGGATATTTATGTTTGTGAGCTTCAGGTTCCGTCGGTACGGCACATTCAACACACACGTCAGGGAACATCGAAGAATGGGAAATTCTGTCCAACAAAGTCTGTGCACATGACATTCACTGGCCTTGGAAATTACAAACACAAATATGATGCAAGTTTCACATAAGGATTTCAGTTACCAACCTCACAAAATTCGAATTATTCTACAACTAAGGGATCAGGATAAAATGGTACACCTCAATTTCTGTTTCCAATAATTTCAGACAACAGTGCATGGCTGTGATAAGTTTCTTTTTATACAGGGGATGGACAAAAATATGGAAACACCTCGTGAAATGCATGCCTGAATTGAAGTGTTTATTTTAGCGATATTTGTAGGTCACGATATCGTATCTGGCCAACACAACTATCTGTACATCCTCCGCAATAGGCTGCAAGCTTCATTTGTTATCGAGACAGTGTTCTGTGCAATTTTTTGTGCATCATGTCAGAACTAACAGAATTCAAATGCGGGCAAATTGTTGGGGTCCATATGGTGGGTGCTTCTATAACCAGGGTAGCCGAGGTTTTTGGTGTTTCGCGAGGCACAGTATCCAAGATTATGACCACATACAGGAGGACTGAAAGAACCACATCCGATAAACACCAGCGTGGACGGAAATGTGCGTTGAGTGATCGAGACAGACAAACATTGTGTAGGATTGTGACGAAAAATAAGAAGACTACAGCTGCAAAACTGACTGCTGAACTGAATGTCACACTCACAAACCCTGTCAGCACCAAAACAGTATGAAGGGAACTCCACAAGCAGGGTATTTCTGGACGAGCTGCAATTCCAAAGCCACTCATCAGTGATCAAAATGTCACTAAGAGGACAGTGCGGTGCCAAAGTCATAAAACCTGTTATGGAGCAATGGAAGATGGTCATTTGGTCGGATGAGTCCACCTTCACACTGTTTCCGACTTCTGGCCGAGTTTATGTCTGGAGAACGCCATCCCAAGCTTACGATCCAGATTGTTTGCTGCCAAGAGTGAAACATGGCGGGGTTTCGATCATTGTATGGGCAGCCTTAACATGGTATCCTGTCGGACCCATCATTACCTTGCAAGGTCACGTCACTGCCAATGACTATGTGACCATTCTGGGCGACCAGGTCCATCCCATGGTGCAAACTTTGTTCCCTAATGGTGATGTAATTTACCAAGCCAACAATGCCTGTGTTCACATAGCTCACATCGTCCAGGACTGGTTTTCTGAAAACGAAGACGAAGTGTCACGTCTGCCATGGCCTCCACAATCGCCAAATATCAATATTATTGAGCCTTTGTGGTCTGTTTTGGAGAGCAATCTGTGTGCGCACTATCCACCTCCATCATCGATAACAGAACTTGCCAATGTTTTGCAGGAAGAATGGTACAAGATTGCCTTGCAAATCATACAGGACCTCTATTTATACATTCTAAGGAGACTGCAAGCACCATATTAGTCATGCTAATGTGTTTTTTGTTGGGTGTTTCCATATTTTTGTCCATCCCCTGCATCTGATGACGCCCATTTTCACCTAGTCAAACAAAATTTCTACTACTGGACTGAAGTGCGCCCTGTGAAGCTGTATGAATAGCAAATGAAGTTCTTTCATGCATCAGCACATCAAAATAATATAGCCTAAGAATTATTTCCATCTGCACAACAGCAAACTCATATCAATGAATAAGCCACTTGGGTATGATTACTGAAACTGCATACACTTACAAACAGCACAGAGATATGTGATTTCCCAGCACAATCTAAAACACCAAATTCCAGTAGCAGCACTGATCTATGTCCAGGACTGTTTTATTGCTTCACACCCATCTCTCAATATCTTGCATATTAATTGGATCAGAGGAATGATTCAAGTGAGAATGAATTTGTAAATGTAAGGATATCACGATGATATTGTCATGTATTGGGCGTATAACGCGACAAATAACTTCACGCCGTATTTGATATAGCAAATTTTATTTCACATTCGCACTTACAATCACCCAAATTACAGATTCACAATTACTGCTATCTGCAGTATCACAAATACTACACTCCAAATGCCAGAATGCAACTGACTGGTTGCTGGCTAACTCGGAACTCTCTCGGAACTAACTCGTAGGTAGCTGCCCTGAGAACTGTTGATAACACACTCGCTCGACTACTACTTAACTCGGCGACTGTCACATTACAACTAACTCGCAGCCGCTGTGCAGTTCCCTTATATAGCTGCAGTGCTTGCCTGTTGCGTAATGAGCGCCACGTCATCCTGTTATGTCACCGCGCATTGCGCGCTACGTTACAGTGCGGAGGGGAGCGCTGACTCATCCGCCACGTCACTGTGGCCTCAGTTGCCACGTTGCTGCTGGGTAGGAAGGGGTTATCCGTTGCGCAACATGTCACAATATGCATATATACAACAGTTCCCAGGGCATTTAAGTTTGACAAACATTTGCAAATATGTAAGATTTGAGGTTTTCACGGCAGTGACTATGAAGAATGCTGTCTTCTGGGATGTGACACTGCATAGATCTTGTGGGAACCGACATTTCAGAGGTAGAAAAATCCGTGAGCAAGGAACCAGCAAAAGTAGATGGATGCAGACAGCCACATCCACATCCCAGAAGATGACATTCTTCATTTGCAACTATGTTAATGATAACATAATTTATTCAAGATGTAATGCCATTTCAACTTACTATAAATTATCATTCCACAAACATGAAGAAAACTTTGAGCAGTGACTGACCTGAAGATTCATTACACTTAACCTGCAGGGCTCAGAGGATCAGGTTCATCCAAAATGTTGATGGCCATCTATGAGACTACATAGTATCATAACACAAAGGACCACAATATAGAACTTCTTGTGTTTGTGAAGTAGCCATACAAACAGTGAACACATCAATGTAGGCCATGGAATCTCATACCCTTTAAAGAATTCTGCCTCTAACCACACCAAAAACTCACAGAGATATTGGGTTTTCGGACTTTATCCATCGTCCTGGTTTTTAAGATAACTAAGAAAAAACATGACGTTTCGAAAATGATGGTGTTATACACCATCGTCAGAATCCTATAGTAACTACACCAAAAACTGTCTACCCCTCCCCACCTGTGCTGTACACCAGTTGATAACCTCCACCCATCAACTTCCAACCCCGGTGCCTTACAAGTCTTCAGCTCGTTTATTCTTTAGGACAGAAAACTGTAAATTAAGAACAGTGCTCCAGTGAGAATGAAGGTAAGAAGATCTGACAAGAAAGGCATTCTTCTTGCAACTGTGTACCACATACTTACCCTGTGTTCTGTTGTCTGTTCATTTGAAACCTCATCCCTGTATTCCCTGGCTTGTGAGGGTGGTGTTGGCCTTCGTGGTGGCTTAGCAGGACGTACTGAAGCCACAGGGGAGCCCCGTGACACTGGATGACTCACTGAAATTAGAAGTTGTAATTTTCTTCAGCTAAGATTTCTGCAAACTATACAGTACATTCACAGGCTTACTTATTCACATGAATGATCAGAACACTAAAGCATAAGAACAATGAAAGCATCATTGTTGGGTAACGCTGTCTCTGTGCTTAACTAATTAAGCACTATGCCATGATGGCGTATGAGGGAGTGAATGTATAGATCAAATTTTTTTTGACCTCAGCACTAGCTGGAGGTGAGTGGTCAGCTTCACACCCTGGATGCTTTATCCTTGGGGAAAAAGCCCCCAGTACCCACTGAATAGGAGGTTGGGCGGAGCCCAGAGCCCATGTGAACGACGTGGAAAAGAGAAAATTCTTGACCCTACTGGGACTCGAACTCCGACCCCTCAGTCATCCAGCCAATAGCCAGTCACTATACTTGGCATTGGGTAATAAATGAAAATGACAATTATGGCTCAATCAGATATATCTGTAAATGTCTCTCTCATCAGGTTCTGATGGAGCTGACAGCTGGACAACTGAAGAACTGAGGTTTGATTCCTGACATGGCACGAGATTGTTCTGTTCTCCACAGCACTAAGATCAACTCTGGTACTCAGCCACCTATTACATGGGTACCAAGCATTATTTTCTAGGGTAGAGTGGTTGGGGAATGTCTCTAACCATTCATGTCCATCCAGAGCAAGAGAATACGAAAACAGAGTAGCTGTGCCTCCAGAGGAAGGCCAAGATTTGTAGTGGGCTGTAGTACCAATCCCCTACCATGTACAAAAGATGATACAAGGTTTGTGCAAGAGGTTGCAGCGACAAGTGATATTCTTATTTTGCTTCCTATGACATTTCTGCTTTTATGTGGGTTATCTATTCCTTGCTCTGCAACCAGGCATGTTTTGGGTCAGAAATGAAGCCTAAGGATGTGATAATGTGCTGTCCAGTTGGAGCTACCACTCACTTCAGGGGTGATATCACAGCACCAAATCCATTCAAGGTTAAAACTCTCCCTGTTCTTATGCACCACACCATAAAAATAAATGGAGGAATGGAGGTACAGATCCACACATGGATGTTAGTAACAAGCTTTATGTTCCAACAACTCTGCAGTAACAAGCTCCTGGTAGCCAGTGGATAGGAGGCTGGGGGACAAACAGAAAAATTAATGCCACTGTATGGGATAAAGATTCTAGACATTCACTCTGGTGCCAATACTTTACTAAGCAATCCCAAGTCATAAATCCATGTCAATTAGTCAATTAAATTCTTATAACTTAATAATATTATATTTCTTGAAACATACCAAATGTTTCAAAATTCTCATCTTTCTCTATACGAGTTGAAAACAGACAGTCAGGTGAAATACCACGGGCAGAATGTCCTAACCAAGGAGGCTGTTTGGCTGAGTTGCTATCATCCTCAGCCACAAATATATTGATGACAGCAGCAAATCTCTCTTGATAGTGGTCTGGTTCACCAATATCATCCAACTCTGACCTGCACACAGAAATTTGGAGGTGTTTACATTTACAGTATAAAATATCATTAGTTCTTAATTTATATTACTGTTATATGTTTCGGTTTTAATTTCCCAACACCATTTTTGAGCAACTTTTTCTATGTGACACACAGGGCTCACCAAATCTACTTGTCTGCTAGTCCATAACAAGTGAAAAATCAAGGCAGGGTGGAAAATGTTTTAATTTATTCGTTAATATTCTCTCCAGCTATCTTTTCTGATTTCTCCACAGAAGAGAGTTCAAGCAGTAACGATTCTGACTTGCATTTTGGAGATGTCTGGCTCAGATCGTGGCCTTACTGAGGATTTTCATGCTTTTCCTTAGACCGTACAGAGGCGGGTCCTATAGGTAATGCTCTAGATTTAGATTCTGGAAGTTCTCAGTTCGAATCTTCTCTTGGACAATGGCTATCCTGACTGAGGTTTGCTCTGGTATTCCTTAGAAGCTCCACACAAATGCTGGAATAGTGCCTCTATGTGGTACAAATGTTTCCTTCCAAATCCTTTCCAATTCATCATTCACAATCATACTCCTTTCAGTGTGTGCATGCATGCACGCATCTCTCTCTAAGCAGATGCCAGAAGTATCTTAAATCATGCAACAACCATTAACTTCTACATCCTTTGAAATCCATTATTCACACACCATCCTACCAGCCAATGCCATATAATCAGAGTTGGCAACAGTATCATTAAATAAACTATAAATAAATTAATACATGGACTGAAATGAAAATTTTGCACTAAAAAGAACTCAAGTACACAACACCACTGCAATAAATGGCTTCATAAAATATATGTAAGAGTTTTAATGATCACAAAAATGCAACGTTAAAATACTGTAACGTGTTTTGCGTTACCGAAGACGCCGTAGAGATGGTTAATTGGGTTTATTTAACAATCTACAAATAACGGCTACACTTAATTATCACACAGTTGCGGGGTTTCACACTTTATAACCCTAATCGCATTAATCTGTCGACACTGTTGCGGGGTTTCACGACTTATAACCCTATGCGCAAATCAGTTCACTCTGTCTTCAGTAGTCTACACGTTTACAGTAGGGGAGCTATGTATCACTGTATCACACGCTCCCAATTACACAATTACACACACGTCCGGATCTTCTTTCCGCGACGGCTGCTATACTCCAACTTGTAGTCGGCTGGCTGTTACTTTATAACTCGGCGGCTGTCACCGTACAACTGTATTAGGCGGCTGCTACAATAGAACTCGCTGGTAGCCACATTAGAACTCTGTGAATAGCCTTCGCTGCTCCGTATGTAGCCTCGATCGGACAGTACGGGAAAACGGCCAC